CAAAATACGATAAATGCTGTTGGATATAAAGGATGAAGTTACATACAATATTAGCCATTTACGGCCTTTCCGGATAAAAAGGATGATGTTACAGCGTGACGGGGTTGTCGGGCCGTGTCCGTGCCGTGTAGGATCCACTGTGCCCCAGTAATTTTCTATTTTCTTTTTTTTTATTTAACTTGATTGGCAGCTATTGCTTTTGATAATAAAGTGTCGAAAACACGAATAGTAATTGCAAAAAGAAGGTGGGATGCGTATCTAGTGGGAAAAAAAAAAACGGTGGGAGAATTCGCCACGCCAACATTAATAGATTTTAGGAAATGAAACTATTTTTCCGGATTTAAATCGCGTATATTTGTTTTTTCAAACAAACCGACGTTTCGGGCCCTTTACAGGTCTCAGTTTCATTTCTTGTGTGTAACAATCGCGAAAACCTAAGAACTCGATATTAATAGAATTTTTTTATTTTATTTTACTTTATTGTCTTAAGAAAAAAGTATACACAAATATTGTAAAGCACCGTCAAATCCTACTTGGGTTTGTCTCGAGGCCATTAATTTCCTCTGATACGAACGCACTTATACAAAACAAAACAAAACTCTTAAAAGTAGGTAGGTACTTACTTTTAAGATTTTATTATTTATTTTTAAGATTTTAAGAAGATATAGACATTATTTTTTATCTTTATTTGGAGGCATACATTTGTACGACAAGTGAAAATGCAAGGGCAATAGAAATTACTAATGAGGGTCTATTAGAAGCCCGAAGCCGAATGGTGCTTTACTAACTCCAGTTTTGCATTTTTTTACCGTCCGTGATACATACAATGTTCTTCATCACAATTGCGAGGAAATAAGTATGGTTCTCAACACAAAAATTATGGATTTGGCAAATGGCGGGTTTTTTGTTTTTTTGTTAATTCTTCCATAGATACAATTCGAAATGTTGTAAAAAGCAAACACACATACAGCCACGATAGATTGTAAAAAAATTGGTAATTTTTTTAAAGAATATAATTAAAATCAATTATAATTAATTAAATTCTCAATAATAAGTATTTATGTAGTATTTAGCCGAATTGCAATTTAAGTAACATTTTAGGCGAATGTTTTAATTTGAAATTAAGTGACCTCCTTCCTTGAACCTGACCTATGTAAGGAAGTATGTCGTGCTACAAAAATTTTAAAAAAAGCTCTTTACCGACTATGGCAGTAATGGAAAGAAAAAAGGCCCGTGGGTTTTATTTGGGGCATCATAGTCAAGTTAGCCACCACGCGATCATACCATTTACGAGCAAGTATGATGAAAAGTATATTATTACTCCACTAGTCACCAGGCGAACCGGTAGGAAACCGGTTTGTTAACATGAGAGCAAACCAATTTTTCGTCGTCCATTTGGCGTAGCGCAGGTCACTTCAAGCCCGTGGTCGGTTACCCTCCGGGCCCACGACGAACACGTTCAAGGACCGGAGCCAGGGAAACAATACTGTTCTCCTTATAATAACTAACGTAATTGACCTTATTATCAAAATTGAGTTATTAACATTTCTGGGATCGGCGAAACAAGACCTACAACCCCATGTAAGCGATTTTTTTTATATCCTATTTAGTTTCGGTTTTATGGTCAAGCAAAATCCTAGCGTAATCGACATTTTTCAAAGGAAAAAGGCCCGAATAACTGATAATTTTCATCAAAATGCAAAGCGTTAGTTGAAACAAGGAGAGTAGAATAGTCACCGACATTTAGACGCCATGCCCCGACCGTGACCTCCACCTACCATGGCCTGCCATGAATTAGTTCATACAAAAACATAATACAGATGTTTAACCGCGCCACGTGTACCATGAGTCATCCTAAGGCTGGTCGATAAAAACGTAAATAAAAACTGTTGGCTTAGATAAAGTTCTATAATTATAGTTGTATATTTTTTGTCACCGTCATCCCATGGAAAATAATATATATGTATACAATATTTACGAAGATATAATACTTATTGTAATTACAACTTATTATTACCAAACATGAATATCAAACCCATAGCAGCAAACAAAATCGCAATACTGCTCTTTATGCCTGTGCAGGAGTTGACGTCGAAGAAATTACCTGCCACCGGGTCACCGAGGCTGTACTTCTTCGCGAACTCGTTCACATTGAAGTTAACACGACCAAGTATATTACTGTAACAAAAAATATGATAATATTTATATATCAAATTCTTAAATACGTAAATTTTTTAAGTTTAATAAATGTCACGATGTTTGGCCAGCATGTGAAATTACTCCACTAGTTTGTTATAACACTTAATAGTGTTATTATTGAGTAAATTTTTAAAGGTCACAAAAACAGACTCTCTGTAACTTTAAAGATAGGATTCTAATAGATAATTTATATTAACACGTTCAGACCGGGAATAAAATTACCATTATTTGCTGTTCGACGGGAAAGATTATCACATGGCCACCGGTGGTACATCATTGCCCCATCGACCAAAATATGCATCGGGGTGTGTCACCGATGGTCACGGTGAAATTAACCTATTTATCATAGAGTAATTTTTTGCCAGTCCTGATTGTTTTAATACAATTCATCAGAAATAATTAAGAAATAACTAAGTAAAGCACATTTCTAGTTCTTTTTTCAAATTAATACTTTTTTTAACCTTTATTTTTTTACTGTCTTCATGTCTTACACAATATCAAACACCTGACCTGCACTAAAAATTTGACTGTTGCATAGGGCGGGAACCTTTAATTTAGCACTTTCTCTCAAGGCGGCGTGTGTTTCTTAGTATACCAAAAGTCAAGTGTTGTGTGACCACCGGTGGTACACTACGCCTGATGGACCTGCTGTCCGTGCTCCACCAGAGTGGTACACGCCGGTCTGAACAGGTTAAATAACAAAAGTCAAATAAAATTTAAAAAAGAAAATTCCAAAGGTAAAGAAATTAAATTTGCTGCCGTCATATTGATTAAGTTGCTCGTTCGTAAAGCAGATTCCCTTGAGAAGAATGAGCAAGAAGCTCTAGAGGTTGCTCGTTGTTAATATACATTTATACAAATTTATATGTAGAATAATAATTTGAAACACCATAGATCGAGATTTTTGCATTCCAATTACGCAGAAGCTGTGTAATACAAAGTCTAAGTTGACCTTTACTACAAAGTTTTTGTTTCGTTATAGTTTTATACACTGCTAAGTAAATCAGATTCCTCAGAGAAGAATAATTAGGAAACTCAAGGGATTGTTTCGTGTAACATTTGTACACATTTATCGTTTACATTATTTATTTCAAACATAAATCGAGACTATCTGAAAAAGCTAAACGTGGAATTTTGTTGTCAAACTATGCGTCTGCATAATGTAAACCTGATTCTTATTATGAAAACGTGTACATTGTGTGAATTTGTGACTTTGTGAAAACGGCTATCAAGAACAGCCGATTTATTTTTGTCTAGTCTAAGCGAGGGATGCTGTGATTTACAAAACAAACTTTGTCGAAGTGTAAACAAGAAATTAAATCTACAATAAATTTCCTGACACACCAAAAACAATAAAAAACCCAATTATTACTAAATCAAAAAGCTATTACTCAGTTAACGAATATTTTGAAGATAACTATCTTAAGTAATATTAAACACCAATTTAACAACGTAACTAATAAGATGTAACTGCTTAATTGTAATCAAATTGTTTTGTTAATTATAAAGTTGGCTCATAAGATTATCATTTCTTATGTCCGTAACTGGGTGCATGTGACATTGTTAATGTAACATATCGACCAATGCATGAATAAATAAATAAAACTTTAAGTTTACTTCGTAATTTTTTGTTTTATGATACCAAGCGTAGGGGCGAACAAGTCGTCTATCCATAACAGTTGTAGTGCCATTCAGAGCTGAAATCGCAAAGACTTGAGGGGTACTGCCACTGCGCTTGTCACTCTGTAATTTCACCGGCATTTATTGTTTAAAAACGGAACGCAGTAACGCTCACATCATTGCTTGGCGGCAGAATTTTTTTTCCGCACACACTCAACATAGCCCCGCACACATAGACAACCACAAATTACACCCAAACTCACGAGAGAAATAAATGTAGGTCATACAAATATTTCGCCCGGCCCGGGAATCGAACCTGGGACCTCTGCGTGGCAGTCCGGCATGGTAACCGTTCGGCCACGGAGGCAGTTAAAAAAAAAAAGAAATAGGTAAGGTGGCAATAATTCCCTGGACGAACACTTTGACAAAGAGCTCTACTCCTATTAATTTCTTGCTTCAAATGTTATAGGCAATCTTCGTTTTGTAAATACGTAAAACTTACTTAGCTCACTAAATAAAGAATCATCAAAATTGTTTGGTCATGTATGAGGTTTTTATGTGTATAAAAATATATCAGGCCATATTGGTAACAACACCAATGCAGTCAATCGATATTCATAAACGTCACACAAAGCCATATACAACGCTCATTTTCATGCATTCTTATCAAACACTTTATCGAATTGCCAACGAGGAATTTACGAACGAATGCGCTATAATGCAATTTTCTATACTGCATACGTTTGTTATTGTAGCTTGTATTATTACGATATTAGTCGTCAATGACACTTGGTGTGAAAAAAGTCCTTTATCTTACACGTGTCCTGGAGACATATTATGGTGACCCTAACAATTTTGGAAAAAAAAATTTAAATGGTGGGTGAAAACGTAGCTACACGTAGCCACGTGATGGGTTAATCGTTTTGGACTGCCTTCGAAAATGCAAGTTCTTTCGTTTTACATTTTCGTTCTACTTTTACCTAAATACCAGAATGCCATATATGAAAAAAAATAAACAAGTAAATATTATAAAACTTCGGTGCTGGAATATTTGTATATTTCTAAAGGGCCAGGAGTACTACAAGATTGACTCTTAACACTTAAAGTCCAAATCTTGATTATGACATTCAACATTATCAAAAGTTCAATCCTTCAGGAAATGGAGAATTTAGTTTGGTTTGGTTTTTGGTTTTTTCATGATACCAAGAGAGGGGACGAACAAGTCGAGCGTCTGGTGGTAAGCGACATGCCTGTCCTTAGCAATAGCAGTGCCACCCAAGATTTGAGGGGCATTGCCAATGCGCTCGTCACTTTGAGACACAAGTTGACAAGTCCCATGTGCCTGTAACGCAGTAATACCCACGTTATCACTTGGTGGCAGAAACAGGTAAGGTGGAAATACTTCCCTAGACGAACTCTTTCACAAGAAATCTACTGCTACTAAACTGCTTGTACATTATCACATGTTTCGTAATTGTGGTCGTTTGCACCTAGTTATTTATGCTTTCTCTTGATAGATGATTTAAGCAAACGTGTTTAACTGAGATAGTAAGTTATAGAAACAAAGAAAAACAGTTTTTTTTGTAACTATGGTTTACAGGTGACAAAAGAAAAAATAATTGAAACTTAGGATAGAACACAAAATTAAACCGATATGTTGAAAATGATACCAAAAAAAATGGATTCCACTCAACTACGATTTTCAGTAAAGCCGGATAAAGGACAAAGATGGTATTATATAAAAAGTCGCTTCGTACATGTAAATAACAAAATAAACTTAACTAAGTGCAAATCAAAAGTAATAAATCCATGTGGAACAGGTGGCATGAGGTATAATAAAATCGAAACTGATTAGGCGTGTATTGCGTGTGCAATGTAAATATTCTCGTGCTTGGGATATTAATGCCATTAGTAAAGTGGCTCTGATAACACGTACGCACAGCATGACAGCCAATCAAAATCAAATTCAAATAATCTTTATTTCATAGGTACTTAAGCAAATTACATTTTAAATCGTCATAATAATTAAACTCTACTGCTCGTTTCTTGACTACGGGTTCAATGGCATGTCCCTATCTACCGACTCGAGAGGTAGGGTTTTCTGGAGAAACTACGGGCTCGATGGCGAGACCAGGGAACAGCGGGCGTCCAAGGGCGTCCAAGGGCGTCCAAGGGCGGCCAAACCTTCCGCGCCAGTGATACGCCTTTGCGGCGTCTCTGGCGGACCCGGACTTGGGTATGGACTCGCTGGGGTTTGTGGTTAGCTGCAGAGACGGACATGTTTGTCTGCCCCGGGTGCATGTGGCCGAGGCATCTGTCTCCTGAGCAGCTAGAGCGTCTTTGTAGCAGTCTAGTTGAGGGCCTGAGGTGAGGAGACGCGCGGGGCACGTGAGTTGCCCTTTAAGTTGGTGGCTATGTCCGGACGTTGTCTCAGGACAGTGCCACATAACACAGAGCAAGTAGAGGATGAGCTAGACATCTTCCAGTCCCTCCGGCCGCGTAGGAATTTGGGAACTGGAGAGACGCCGTTCATTTGGCATTGAGCAGTGAGCGTGCTTTACAGCCCCGCCACCAATAAGGAAATTTGGTAGTCGGCTTAGAGTCGGCGGCTCAGCGGTGGCAACCATTAGTCGTGCGGAGCGCGACGGGAAGTGAGCGTGCCTACAGCTCCGGTGCCTATCTGGAAAATAGGGAGGGTACTGTACGTGCACCCGGGGCGGCTCACCTAAGGCACTAGTCTTACAAAGAACCGGATGAAGTGCGTGCAAACGTGCTGATCCGGGGTTAGGACCTGACTTAGATGGTCCCAGTGCAAGTTCGCTTGCACAGGTCATAGTGCCCTTCCCGCATAACCAAGAGGTTGATAGGGAGGGCACTATAAACAAAACTTATGTAGAAAGATATGAGACTGTTCATTTCTTGACTACGGCTTGTCCCAGGACACTGCGAGTGGCATCTCCGGCACTAGCCCGGAGAGCTGGTAGAGGATAAGCGAGATATCCCCTGGTCCCTCCATCCGCTTAGGTTATTGGGAACTGGAGAGACGTCGTTTTTTCGGCGTCGGGATGTGAGCGTGCCTTACAGCTCCGCCACCAATGAGAAGATTTGATAGTGGACTCAGAGTCGACGGCTAAGCGGTAGCAACCGCTGGTTGTACAATGCGCAACGGGAAGTGAGCGTGCCTACAGCTCCGGTACCTATCTGGAAAATAGAGATGGTACTGTACTGTACACCCGGGGCGGCTCACCCGAAGCACTAGGCTCTCGAAGAACCGTATGAATTCAAGTGACAACTCTGAACACTGGCATTTCTGGGGTCAGAACCTGAACTTGTAAGGTTCCTGTGCGCGCACAGGTCATAGTGCCCTTCTTGTAGTAAGGGTAGGTAGGGAGAGTCGCTCTAATCAAAACTAACGGAGAAAGATATGGAGCTTATTCATTTCTAAGACAGATTCCTCTGAGAAGAAAAAACAAGACTTGGGGATGCTCTTTGTAAAAACAAATTTGTACACATTTAATATTTACAATATTTATTTGAAACATCATAGATCGAAACATTTGCAAGAGCTAAACGGGTCACTACCACCGATTTTTGTAATCCAAGTACGCAGAAGCTGTACCTTTAGTATAAAGTTTTTGTTTCGCTATAGTTTTAAACCTCATGAATGGCAAATTTTGAATGTCAACAGGAATCTTATTATAGAAGCGTTACATTATACGCTGCTATGAATGTACTGCGACGGTAGTGTAAGAATGTTGATTTCTTTTACACTTATCTCTCAAAAACATTCAGATTGTAAAACGCCCTAATCGCATATTTTTGCAGGACAAAAGTTTTATTATATAGGCGGTATTACCCCTAAGCAAAATGCCGTACGTCGTTAAGCTGTGAAAGTAGCTGAAGTAAATCAATCTAGCGGTTTCGACAACTGCTATTAGACATCTGTAAAAATTTCTTAAAATATTATTTGAAGAAGGCAACAGATTCTAACGTATATACACGCATTTTACCATAGTATAATAATGCAAGTAGGGTAACTCCATACAAATGTAGCAGCGCGGCTTGTATGTGTGGACAGGGCTCCGTCACTCGCTCGAGGTTACGCTATAAGTGCCTACCGCTGAGTGTATCGCCGACAGTGCAAGCGCTCGGACAAGTCTTTCATTTACATTACAATACTTGTACAACCCCAGCATTCGGTTCCGCACGACTGCACACGGCGGGAAACGTTATTTTCACCTTTATGAGCGCGCTAAAGTGTCTTTTTCTTCGTAGTGAGCGCCTGATGTCATTAATCAGATTTTCGATTTTAGATGAGAGTGATGTATCTGTGGTGAGGACGCCCGCCGCGTGTCTTGTACGGACGCACTCATGATCTCTCGGTGCAATTACGTTGCTAGCGCGGGTTGTCACATGCGTCATTCATTATAGACTTGAAGTGTTGTATTTAAAAAATGTCATCAAATAGTAAACGTGTTTATTAATGTGTTTATAGAGGTTTGAACAACAGTGACTCGAATTCAGAATAGTTCAGCATTTAATTGCTATTTCATTATCTCCTCCTATAATCGAGACACCAATCATCAATGCGTAAGCACTGCATTTGACAAATGTTATTTCAATATTACACAAAGAATACTGTGAAGACCACCTTATTTTTTTTAAATTATGTTAACAACCAGCAGGTACAAGTAATATAATACTTGGACGACCTTCGTGGTCGAGAGGCTTGCGCAGCGGTTTTCATGGTGTCACCATCTCTGACTCTAACTTTTCTGTATTGTTTTCGGGCAAAATGATAGTGACGGAGTGAAGATATTTGTGTTTTCCATCCGTTACTCTCATCTCTGGACTGTATTCGCACTTTCCATCAGGCGCGGTGCAGTCATTTTGCCGAGTCACAATAAAAAAAAAGGTCTGAAATGTATGTGGTAGCGAAGTTGTTTCCGATTTCTATGATATAAGTACTTTAATTTGTGACGGTACGACCTCTTTCATCGTCATCCCACCAGTTTACCACCACTTTCTCTGGTTCCTGACCACGTTTAACGATGTAACGTGCTTATACACATACATCACAAACATTTTTGGGGTAAATTTCATAATGTCGAAGCTACCATAAACAGTTCCTGATACGTCACCAAATGACGAAACAGGACTCTCCAGGCTACACTACAATCTACAGAACATGCATTAGCGGCGCCAGCAGCGCGTTACTTACTTTGGGATCAGCGCAACGTATATAACGTTGTCTAATATTTATATTATTTATATTTATAATGTGACAACCCTAAGGACAGGCGAGAGTTGTACTACTTGTCTAATTATACTATGATATTACGTAATACTTTCCTTTGACGTGTCAAAGAATCAGAGTTTATACATATATTTAATTCAAAATCTGCAATACAAACTCACTTTTTGTCCAAATGATTCTCTTCAATAGCACGACCACTCAGCTTATATACCAGCACGACGAATTGTCTCGTTCCCTTTTGTCCTTGCAGGACGCCTACGTACTCCGTCAGGGTGTTATTGCTTGTGTTGGGCTGGACGTCTGTGACTAGCCAATGCTGAGTGTGGTTGGCAGTATTGTTAGGGTTAGGATCTGAAAAGTAGAACATAAACAAAATTGTAGAACATCATGATTATTTTACCACCATCATATTCATCTATTTTTTGTGATTAGTAACGAGAAGTACAACTCGTGCGCCTAAAAGTTAACGACACGTCTGTACATAACAGTTGCATTACCATTCAAAGTTTTAAATTACAAAGATCTGTCGGGCAATATCACCGCGCCCGTTATCCTGAGACGTAAGTTGATAAGTCCCATGTGCCTGTAATTTCACCAGCACCCTTTGTCCTTCAAAACCTAAACGTAGTAATGCTCACATTATTGCTTGGTGGCAGAAATGCCAGGTGGCAGTACTTAGTGGAATTGTAATATGTTTTATAAATAGCATTTGTGGGGGCCTCTGTTTATTTTTTTTAACTTTATCCTGTCACCTTGAGGTCGATTGCTATCCAGCAACAAGGCCGACTATTGTATCCTGTTTTTTGTTTGTTTTTGTATTTATTCACATGCTCAATAAAAAGTACTATTTATGGCGTAAACTAAAAGTTTAATTTTATATTTTGCTTAACGCAAAGTTGATTTTGTAAATTTGAAAACTAGCTCAGCGCCATTTTTTGTGCTTAATCGAAATCGAAGTTCGTTTTTTAAATCTTCTTCTTAGAAGAAATATATCTTTGAATATAAGTTAAGGGGAAGACACTTCGTTTTTGTGTTCCTCACTAATATTTATTTTATTCACTATAATTTAAAGTCACAAAGTTTAGTTCTTTGTAGGCTACGCATTATAACTGCCTCCGTGGCCGAACGGTTACCATGCTGGCCTGCCACACAGAGGTCCCGGGTTCGATTTCCGGGCCGGGAGAAATATTTGTATGGCCTACATATATTTCTCTCGTGAGTTTGGGTGTAGTTTGTGGTCCTCTATGTGTGTGTCCATGGCACCCGCTATACAGGCTTTCCTTAGTGCGGGGCTATGAGTTATTATTTATATTGTCTAGTAGCTCTATAGCCATCTATGTTCATGTGGTTTTGAAGTCAGTGTTCTTGCGCTTCGGCGTACTTTTTTATCACTATCTATTCTTGCTTAAAAACTCAAAAAACGTTTCATATCACAACCACAAATCCACAAAGCCATTTAATTTCATTTCGAATTACCTACGTGTAGTTGTGACCATTTTATAATTAATTCCCGACGTAAAAACAGGAGACGGGAGTAATAAGTTTAAAACCTTATCCGTGTGTGACGTCATAGCATTCAAACTGCTGGACTGACCTTGAAGCGGCTTTTTTATTTGAAGGCAAAATTAATCGCAATGCTATGTTTGATAAACGATTCAGTTATTTAAAGATCGTCGTCTGTTTTCCCAGTTACTTGACTTGAAATTTGGTATACTATGAAAATCCGATGACACTACAATATGGTAACTTTGATCTGATGCCCAACCAGGGGGACATCCGTCCGAAATATTATACTCTCAAATAAGCAATACCCGACCAAACTAATAGACGCAGGATGCAAACGGAGCTTCATATGTTCATACTTGACATTCTCTTTTAATTTTATCGAGTATTACTTATTTGTGCCAGTAATTGATTCGGTTAGATGTCGGACAGAGAACGGGAGTACAGGGTCTGCACAGTGCGCTGGCTACCCAACTTCTCAACTTTTGTCCCTCCTTCCACGCCTCGGTATTGATTACTCTAGGTACTTGAATATTGTTTGTTTTCATTAAAATATTTCTTTATTTATTATTTATATTTTATTTATACGTAATTAACATTATTATTATCAAATATTTGCGTATTTTGAAAAACATAAAGTAAAATTCTTATTCTTGATTAAGGTAAAATATCTACAATGTCAATTGTACACATTGACTTACAAATAAATGGACGACGGGTCTAATACAAAAACCACGAAAAAAATGTCCCAAGTCAACCTATTCGAAATTTAAATTGTAATGTCATCGCGGTATCGCCCTGTCAGTCGAACAAATGAAGACTAAAGCGGAGTTTGGCGCTCTGTATACGATTTTAGCGCCTTACAAGTGCGGACACTTTTTAGCGCGGACCCGACGTCCATATAATTGTAAGTCAATGATTGTACACCATTTTTTTATGATAGCAAGTGTCGCGACTAACAAGTCGTGGGCTTAATGGTAAACTACACTCTATACATAAGCAGTAGAACCATAGTTCTAATTATATTTATATAATACATAACAATGTTAAGTTGGTGCCGACAAGTTGTTGCTACATTTATGGTGACTTTGTATCATACCAAGTAACGGGATGAGCAAGTCGTAATGGTAAGTGACACGCCATTCCATAACACCCTGAGACATTAGTTGATAAATCTCATGCGCTTTAATGTCACCAGCACCCTTACCCTTTAAAAGCGGAACGTAGTCATGCTCACATTACTGTTTGGCTGCAGAAATAGGTAAGATGGCTGTACTTCTCTGGACGAACGCTTTCACAAGAAACTCAACTGCTACAAATTTACATATATTTCTATAGAAGAGTTTATAGAGGAGACCAGTGGAGTTGTAATATGTTTTATAAATAAATCCAACCTTTATGTCACCGTTTACAGTGCGGTGCTAATTTGTTATGGTACATCTTATACAGTAACACCCTTTCATTGTTCTATCACAATGTCGTAGGTTTATAATAAGAACGGCCACGTTGAAAATATTTATTACATAAAACGCGTCTTTCAAATTGAAATAAAATTTACGGCCTAGCCAATGCGTTTATCGGACATTTGATTTACACGGCCTTGCAATTGTTCAATACTTCATCACCAACGCATTATACGTGTCACTAAGGCGAATCACTGGAGGATAAGCTGGAAAAAAGAAAGAAAAGCTGGTTTTGCTAGATCAAATTAACGATTTAATTATTAAATAACGGTCTTATAATAATCTCAGTACAGCGGAGTACTAAAAAGAACCGAACTCAAAAGTTCGTTTTATTAAAATCGGTTACAATTCAACCTCAAGTTTGTCACTCTGAGAAGTGGAATATATTCTTCAAGTTTAAATAGGACCAATGCTGAGGCACCCACTTTGCAACAAAAAAAAAACAATTATCAAAATCGGTTTACAAATTATCGCGTAACATACATACGAACAAAGTTTTGAAGTCGTATAAAACAATGCGATACACCTAAGGATTATTATCTAAAGAAGATGAAGTCATAGATGAAGTCATAAAAAAAATCGTATTTTTTGTCGATCAACATGTGAGGTCAAAATGTGAGGTAAATATACAGGGTGACAGGTTGAACGAGATAAATATTTAAAGATGGGAATGAGTAGCTGATACCTATACTGAATATGTAAAAAAAACACTGCCTTATTTTTAAATATTCTTCTCTAATGAAAATACTATCTCTAACATTTTGTGATACTCTGCGCGAGGTGTCACGTCAATGGAACAAGTAGCGAGTGCCCTGCACGGTCAAATCAAACCCTTACCGATGATTGCCTATTGCCTCTGCGCATGATTTCCCAATAGTTTCTCAGCCTCGCCCGACCCCGCTGGTTGAAGCGCCGTCGCCGGCCACCCGCTACCGCCCGGTTAGATCGCTTGCGCTCTTGTGTTAGACGGAACGTCGTCGTTTATTTGTTTTGCGTGGTATATCGGTGTATTCACCTGTGTAGCCTGTGTAGTTCAGTGGAGTGCAGTGACGTTCATAACGATGCCATCTCGTTGGGGCTAGTGCAATTACGCGTAACTAGCATTGGATTATGAGTTTCCATTACGGTAATTTAGTGGCCAAGTCAAATCCGAGCCAGATTAGCGTTATTTACGAGGATCTATTGTTATCAGTCCGTGACAACATAAATTAATGCTTACTGTGCAAAAAATAAAGTCCAGCCATTGAAATAAAATAAAAACGTTAAATCTCTCTCTTGCAAAATTTGATTTAATGCAGATACGCACCTTTTACCAATACTACATACGCAGGTTTGCACTGTCCCTGACCATATCACTACACAAATGAGGAATATTGGGACATGTTGCGGTGTTACGTTATGGCATGTTATGCAAATTATTTTTCATGTAGACTGTACCGAGAAATGTTCCTTAGTCGGCGAGCTCCATCCTACGCATTGACGTCAGGACTAAATTTGTCTGTCCTAAGCTAAGATCAAAATATGAAAGGAAAATTGAATTATTTTTCCGTAAGTCGTAAGTTAAAATTGTATTCATTAACAAGTGGGCCTTGGATGCCAAATAAATGATTTATTTATTTATTATTATTATTATTATTTAATAGTAGCAGTAAGGATTGATCTTCTTCCTTAAGTAGGAATGATTGTAACGCGCTCGTAGCGCGGCGCGGGAGTTTAATTTCTTACCGGAGATATTTCATAGAGTAGCCCAAATGAATAGGGTGTCAGTATTTGTGAAATGTCACGACATTTCTTTTCTTACGTTTAGATTTTTTTGAAATATTCGGATTAGAAATCAGCTACTCATTTCAACATACTCATTCAACTGCCTCAGTGGCCCAACGGTTACCATGCCGGACTGCCACGCAGAGGTCCCAGGTTCGATTCCCGGGCCGGGAGAAATATTTGTATGACCTACATTTATTTCTCTCGTGAGTTTGGGTGTAATTTGTGGTTGTCTATGTGTGTGTCCATGGCACCCGCGACACAGGGTTTCCCTAGTGCGGGGCTATGTTGAGTGTGTGCGTTATTATTATTATTATTATTTGCTTTTAAACATTTATCTCGTTCAACCTGTCAACCTGTTTCAGCAGACGATCAATATCGAATATCTGTGTGATTATACGTCAAAAGTGCTGTAACCACATCAAAGTCAATAAAATAATACAAACTAAACCAATCAAATTATGTATATGTGAAATTATTGAATTCTCCTATGTGAGCATAGAGAAGTTATCGAATAATTTCATATAAAATTAAAAAAATCATTTCGTTAAAAATTCTCTTAATAAAACTCTCTCCCAAAAAGTTTAATTTTGCAGATGTGGTGTTTGTGGTGATGGTGTG